TTGAGTTGATCAGGAATGAGACAATTGTGAACTATCAAAAACTCAAAGTGCACAGAATGTATAGATTGGAAAACAATAATAAGTAAAAGTGCTAAATAATGTCATGTTTATTAATATTACAAAATAAACACAAAATTAATTATTATGAGAATAATAATTATTCTGTAAATAATAATAATAATAATATATTGTACAGTACTTAAAATACATGATGTCCTGTGTAGTACAGGCAAGTGGCAACTGTATCTGGAAGTATCTGGCAACCATATCATTCACAGTGAAATAAATTGAAAGCTGATGTTAGACCTTTTGGTGTGTTTACAGTTTCAGTGTATGGTGTCTCATCATAAACTTTTATTTGAATTACCCAAATATAAAATTTTTTATGCATTCTGGTTGAGTATGTGTACTGTGGCTTAAGAATGGTAGTGTCTCAAACTAGATATAGTTAAAATAGGTCGAGCTGGTAGGACGTGGTATGCATCGCTCCTGTTTACGATCGCTACATCGACGTTATTTGTGCTCAATCCAAGGATTATTGATTACCGCTAGATTCATCTAACAGTAAGCTTCCGTTCAAAGTTTTCTTTTTCCTGTTTTTACGCCGCTTGCGGAATTAAAATCCGTTAAGCCGTTTTCTTCTAATTTCGACCGGTACTATTGTATCTTTGGGCCGCGGTGCGGGCCTGTCGGGCCACAGATTAGGTCGCCACTCGGGTATTTCCTTGTACGGTGTATTTGGAATACGTGGTTTAATTCTCGTCTCGCTGCTCCTATTATTTATTAAGCTACGGCCCATCTTATATTTCACTTAGACAAAGGAGTCAAGTCAAAGGTCGTTAACCTCGCCACGTGGCCGGTCAACCTATCCGACCCTAATTCGGGCCGCTCTTTTGCCGCTTTCTCGGTATTCGCTTGGGCTATCTCCAAGCGTCTTATCTCTTTCATCTAGTATTAATTTCCTCCTTCGGTCGCGGTGGTCGCCCGCGGGCCGTCTTGCGGGCCTTTCGTTTTTCTTCGTTTTTTTCGGCCATTTCGTTTCTAGTGTTATATCTCGCTCTTGGACCTTCAACGTCCTTCCTTTTCTCAACCGTTTCTCAAGGTTTTTTGTGTCCCATCATGCAAAATTCTCCATTAGCTCCAAGGGTCACTCTGACCCCAACTGTAGTTGAAATGGAGGACTCCGATCAGGATATCTCTACTCCCGCTGCAAGAAATAAGGGCTATAGCCCAGTTGATACTGTCAAAGAAAAAGAACTACTAAAAAACGCAGGAGCCCATCTGAAACGTATCCACGACTTACTTCCGGAGCCGTATAAATCCAACTTACGCACGAAAGATAGAAGGGAAATCAAGGAGCGCGTCGCTCAACTCTTCGGTGCTGTGCATCTGTTATATGGAATCCTCTCGGAAATGAGGGTTAGTATAGCATCGCAAACGGCCCCCCCTGTCCAGGGGCCTCCCGCTATCCAACCCAATTCTCAACCTACATATGCGGACATGGCAAAAATTGCCCGTAAACCCAGTGAAACCACTAAGACCATAATCAAATCTATTGCTAACATCGAAAAAGGAGGAAGCAGCCACGCCCTGTTAGTCTACCCTAACCCAATGGAAGGGGAACGCATAAATATGGAAAACATAACTAAAGAAATTATGGAAAAAATTGAACCCCACAAGATCAAGGTAAATGTCAAAGCTGTTCGCCATGTGAAAGGAGATGGTGTCTGCTTCCGTGTAGGAAACAGGCAGGAGGGAGAAACCCTGGCTAAGGCAATAAAAAGCATTAAAGAAATTGAACCAAACATCAGATGTAGGGTATCTGAAGGAAGAAATCCAAAATTAATACTCGTAAACGTCCCCAACTCTGTGGCATCAGAACAAGTACTTGAGATCCTATACGAACAAAACCTGACCTCTGGAAAGCTGAAAAAAGACGAATTTGACACAAGCTGTAAATTAACACAACTTAACATCAGGGGTAAAGTCAAAGAAAACTGTCGCCATCTAGTTATTAGTGTTACACCAAAGCTGAGAACAGAACTCCTAAATCTGAAGTATGTGGCACTTTCCTGGGCGCAGATAAAAATAGATGACTTCCTCCCGCTGGTCCGTTGTTACAAATGCTGCGGATTCCAGCATCTAGCCAGAGATTGCCCCAAAAGTCAAGCTTGTAGCCACTGTGCTGAGGAACACAGATTTCACGAGTGCGGAAAGAACCAAAAACCAAACTGTGTAAACTGTGCCAACGAGAACAAACACCTGCCAAAAGGGAAGAAAATAAAAACAGATCACAATGCTTATAGTTTACAGTGTCCGACAGCACAAATAATCAGACAGCAAATAATACAACAAACTAATTATGGGACATAACGCCAACAATAATAACACAAATCAGACAACTACCATTAATAGTGGCATTGACACTCCTCCTCTACGCATCCTCCAGATTAATACGCAGAAGAGCAAAGCGGCTAGCTCGCTAGCTCTGAAAACGGCGAATGAACTGGATGCCGACTTATTATTGGTCCAGGAGCCCTACACTATCCAGGGGAATATTGTGCGATATGGAGGTTGGAACATCCTGAATAAGTGTAATAACAGCGAGAGGCCTAAGTGTGGAATCATCGTGAGAAATAACAGCTTAAATATCACCCTAATCCCTGATCTCAGCTCGCATAGGATCACCACTGCAGCTATTCATAATGAAGTCATAGACTTCCTTATTAATGTTTATTTCTCACCATTTGATGATGACGATGAATGTATAGATGAGTTGCACAAGGTGTTAGAGAAAGTCGGTGACAAAAGCTACATAATCGCCGGCGATATCAATGCGAAATCAGCTCTTTGGTTCAACGAAGAGGAGGACTATCGCGGTCGCCTGGTACAAGACCTTCTAAATGAAGTGGATGGGATTTCTCTGAACACCTCAGATATTCCCACTTTTGAAACTTGTAGGGCGAGGGGCTGGACAGACGTCTGTCTGGCTCCTACTAGCCTGGGCTCAAAAATTATTCAATGTGAAACCTTAACCACCACTTCTGCTAGTGACCACAAATATATCTTCACCAAACTTGAAAGGATGGGGCAATCGGCTAGTACGACTGCAAATAATTACAATAGGACGACAAATTGGGAGCACTATAAAATCCTCTTCGCAACTCACTGGAGGTCTTACTCCTTTCAACCTATAAATACTACTGATGACATTGACAACTACGTTACTCATCTCACTAACTCCATCAATGCAGCCATCGGCCTCTCATCAGCAGCTAAGAAAGATAATAACAAACGGACTCACTGGTGGAATAACGAGCTAGAAGACGAGAAAATGAGAATTCGTAGGTTAAGAAGGCGCTGGATCAACACTAACCAAGCAACTCTAAAGGAAAACCTAAAGAAAGAATATTTTAGCAGCCTAAATTCCTACAAGAAGCACATTAACAAAGCCAGGACTCAAGCATGGCATACGTTCTGTAGTAAAGACAATAAGGACCCATGGGGCAAGCAATACAGAATCATATTTAAAAGCAAGAAAATAACCAAAATACCGCATATTCTAAATAACAATGTCACCGACTCATACAACATTGAAAAGAATATATCGAACCTCCTCACCTATCACTTCCCTGATGACAATGTAAGCGAAGATCTTGACTACCACCAACATGTCAGGAAATGCAATAAAGAAGCTTACACGAGCTACAGGGATAATTGGTTTACTTTTAAAGAGATTGCTAAGGCCATTGCCTCATTGGCCAACAAGAAAGCCCCCGGGATCGATAACATATCTGCGGAATCGATTAAACACGCCTACCAGGAGATCCCGATAGCCTTCGTCTTGCTTTTCAACGCCTGCCTCACCCAGGGCTATTTTCCACGTAGTTGGAAGACTGCCAACATCAAATTTATCCCGAAAATCAGCACGCCAACCAAGGAAAGTGATTACCGGCCAATCAGTCTACTCCCTTCTCTAGGCAAAGTCCTGGATGGCCTGATTATTGGCCGCATTAATTGGCATCTTTCCAGGAATAAAGCCCTCAATGCCAACCAATATGGGTTCAGGGCTGGCTCATCAACGATTAAGGCAATCAATAATGTTGTGCAATTCATAAAAAACGCTTGGGCTCTGGACAAGCATGCTTTAATTGTAAGCATAGACTTTAAAAAAGCGTTCGACCACCTTTGGTGGCCGGCAATCCTGAAGACTCTAAAGGACACTAACTGCCCAAGCAATATTTATGCTCTCCTGGAAAACTACCTTACTGACAGGCAAGTTGGCTTTTTCTCCGATGGGCTAAACATAATCAAAAATGTTAATCGTGGCTGCCCCCAGGGCTCCCGGTGTGGCCAGGGGCTCTGGAATGTGGTGTACGACACTCTCCTTAACTCCATCCAAAATACCGAGGATATGCAAATTCAAGGGTTCGCAGATGACACCATCCTCATGATCCGGCACCACAACTGCAACACCCTCCAACAAATGGCAAATACCACCCTCAAGAAAATTCACGACTGGAGTGAGAAAAACAAATTACCCTTGAACTATGATAAGTGTGAAGGCCTTGTCTGCACGAAGAGATCTCGTCGCAGACAACTCCAAAGGCCTCTCTGCATCTATATCAATAAAAACAAGATTAAAATCAAGCCGACCATTAAGTATCTTGGTGTCCATCTCGACCCAACGTTGAGTTGGAACCACCATATTGATACTATTTGCCATAAAGTGAAACAAAAGGCCAACTTGATCAACTACATAGCGAGGAATAACTGGGGCCTTTCCCCCAAACATTGTAGACTCATTTATAGCGGCGCTATAGAACCAGCGCTGCTGTATGCTGCCGAGATTTGGGGTAGCAGAGCAACTATCGTCAACAACAAACGAAAAATTATCTCCATTCAACGTGGCTTCGCTATTCGCATCTGTAGGGCCTATCGGACGGCACCTACAAATGCTCTTCTTGCTATAGCGAATTTAACACCAGTCAACATCAAGATTAACACCAAGGTGTGGAAGTGGCACCTCATAAACAGTGACTTTTCGCACATGCCAAATGATAAACTCCAGGCTCTCATCACAAACAACCACATACCTTCAGCAAATATTGCCAACAAAATCAATCACCACGGGATCGACTACTGCTTCACTGACTACTCCAACTGCAATCATCCTGCAAGTGATACAGACAACTTGGTTAAGATCAACCACGACGATAACGACCCGCTCGCTGACTGGAACATCTTTACGGACGGTGCTAGGAATGACCTGGGCACTGGTGCGGCGTTTGTCATATACGAAACCTCTAAAAATAGTGTTGTCCATGAAGAACTCCACAAACTCTCCACCCATTGTTCAAACAATCAGGCGGAGTTATGGGCAATGTTTAAGGCCCTCTCCCTTGTCACCAAGAACCTCCGCAGGTTCAAAGGGAATATCGACTTTTTCACCGATAGTAGGTACGTCCTCAACGTAATCAAGGGGACAAAGAAGCTTACTGCAACTGGCATCAAGCTGCACAATCTTGCCAAGAACTTAGACAGCTACAGGAATATCTCCTTTAAGTGGGTCCCCGGGCATTCGAACATAGAAGGCAACGAGAAAGCCGATAAACTGGCCAAAAAAGCAGCGGAGCTAATGACTAATCCATCCTTCGGGCTGATACCAATCAGCTATATTAACCAACACATTCACGACAACAGCATTAAACTCTGGGAAGAAGAATGGAACAACTCCGAAACAGGCAGAACTACTTTCAGTTTTCTGCCTTCAATTCGGAAGCGCCAGAAGTATAACTACATCACTCCTTCCTTCTTCATGACGCAGTGCCTAACAGGACACGGAAACATTCCGACGTACCTCCACAGGATTGGGAGGCGAAACACCGACGTGTGCACCTGTGACAATCAATCTGTGGGCAACATCCTCCACATCCTCTTCAACTGCCCGCGCTACGAAGCCAACAGAAGAGACCTAAAAACCTTTTGCATTACACACGGACAATCGTGGCCACCAAGGCTGGACTATTTGTGCGCCTACAAAGGAAGCTTCGAGCATCTCCAAAAATTAGTAAATAACTGTAACGCTTTCCAAAATGACTTCTCCGGGCACCGAGCTCATTGTGACTCCAGCAACTGATTCGACGCCGCATCATCTCAGCTATGTAAACCTCAATGTAATCTCTGTGCACAATTGCTTATTATTTTACTCTGTGTTTCCACGTAACCGCTTTGCTACTATGCACCAATTTGTACATATCGTAATGTGTAAGTTGCAATTTTTATGGTAATTTGTATCCTATTGTATTTCCTTGTATAACTTAGCATATTATGTCATTGACTAATGTGCCCTTCTCAATGTATACCTCTTTATTGTATAGCTTACTGTTTTTATTAATGTTAATGCTCTCTTATTATTCAGGGCACTATGCCCATTCTGTTTTGTAACCACATTCTTATGCATATTGTGCTTCAGCACCCTACCCTGTATTTATGTATCCATCCATCATCTTGTATAGTGCAATGAGCACTGGCATACAGCCACCTTTATCGTACACATTGTATTCTGCTTTATACATATTTATGTTCCCGGTGCTTGACAATCATGTGATACCCCCCTTACTTTCTTCTTTCCCACTTTCCTTTAACTTTCATCCCCCTCCCTCTGCACCCCTCCTTCTTTCCTTTCTCAAACGGCTAAGTCGCAAGACAGCCTACTAATCTATATTACAAGTGCAAGTATTAACTCCAATACTACAGCAATAGTACAAAACCTTAAATCAAGCAATTTCAAGAAATATTAAATTTAATTTAAAATAGCTTGTACATTTACCTTTTAATCTTAGCATGGTATGATTCTCTAATAGTATAATTTCTATCTCTTCCCTGTAAGTCATTTAAGTGCTGAAATATATAATTTTCATTTAGTTTGTCAAAAAATCAATCTTGTATAAANCTGGAATTTAATTGCTAACCACTGTAGTAAAAAATAATAATATATAATTATTTTCTTTCAGACAAGAATATAAGTTAAACATACATGAATTACGTGGAGAAACCTACAATGGATTGATAAGATTGCTGAAGCCTGGTTGTCGAAGTATTGTGCTGCTGGTTGATAAAGAATCTAAGACAAAATTACTTAATAAATTCTATCGCATTGTGTATCCTTATCGCAAGTGAGTTATTGAATTTTATTGATTGAGATTAACTTAATTAGTTTTAATTAATTTATTCTCTGGTATTTGTGATTGTACAGGAATAAAACATTGATGTTTGCTTTTCTAATGGTCGAAAAAAATTTGGAGTGGTATCGACGTTTACTACTTCAGACGCTGGGAGAACCTAGAGAACTTAACATCAATCCAAAAAATTGCATTGGGACTGTTTTGTCCTTGAATGGACATAGAAAATATTTCTGTGTTTATCATGCAAAACATTCAGAAATGAAACACTGTAAATTGAGGGTAAGATAAAAGAAATTTTATTGTGAAATGTTTAATTTCATATTAATCATTATTTTCAAATTTCAGAATAGAAAACATAAAAATGGGGGCGAATTTATTGGATTTGAAGAAAGTGGAAGTGAAACAGAAAATAGTGATGTGGAAGCAGGAAATTTAGTTAGGGATCAAGAAGATAATGAAACTTATAGCAACATACTTTTTGAAGAATATTTGCTGGATGGTTTACCCAATTGGCTTGACAGATTATTTGAAGGCTCAACCCAACGTTATTATATTCAATATTGGCCTGAAAATATGAAATGAATATTTAAATTTTTTCTGTACTTTACATTATCTATATTTTATCATCTTAAGACATCTCATATATATCTAGTCACAAAGTAAAAATGGAAAAAATTTTAAATCCCTAGGACAATTTGTGATTGTTTGGACCAGAATCTTATTTAAAGGACAGTTGTAAAGATTGAATTGTTTTGCTCCTGTTATTTTTTCCACAATAACTTATCAATTATGAAATTATTATCATGTGTATAAAATAGTTTGTTTTAAGAATTCAAACAAAGAAAGGAATGTGAACTTTGTAATTTATTACTTAAAAATTCATGAAATATAAGCAGAGTATTTTGCTCAAAAGGAAAATTATTTCCATTAGTTGACAAAAATATAATTACTCTATCAATCAACTTTACAGAAACAAGTTAAAAAAAAAATTATACACTATTATTACTCATCTTTTTTCCATTATTAAATAAACTTCCAAATTATTATCATTGTTATTATTAATCATGCTGTTTTATTGTACATTTATTTTAGAAATATTTAACCTGTTTTCTGAGAAATCAAAATATTCCAGTTTTTTATAATTAAATTATAGATTTATATAATTTTTAAATATCTAAAGTACTGATTGAGAAATTATTAGTTATACTTTTCTATTATTCTATTACATACACACACATACTTAAATACACACTTCAGTTAATTGGGATAGTTTTTCCCTGTCTATAATTTCACAGTATTTATTATATGACTAAATTTTCAGATAAACCAATATAGTTAAATATTTCAATCTATGAAATGTAATAAAATAGTTATTTTCGCTCACATTTCAATACAAAAAACTTGAATGCAAAATTGTAGACGGCATTGAGCATTTATAAAACATGCTATACCATTCATACAGGATTCGTAGTTTGGAATTTTAGTTCAAAATTAAGATAATATGCATTAAACTGTTACTGATGATTAAAGTTGCAAGATTGATTATTGATGTCTTGTTACAATTATTTGAAATTGGTTTTTCAACTTTTGCCAGTTAGTAATTAATAGTTTTGTGCCTGTGGCAGTTAGATGATGAATCAACCATAGTTTTGAAATAGATGTAACTTACCCATTGCAATATTTTCGGTAGGTCAAAATTGTTTTGGGAGACCAAAAAAAAAAAAGTCGTGAATGATTGATTCATTGTCAAAAGGACATAGACAAAAATGTTGTATAAAAAAGTTCATCCGTGGTTAATGTATTTTGATAACGATAAACTAATTGATTCAGATTTTTACACTTCCTTTATGATTAGCCTGTTTTATTTTAATTGTACGTATGGAGATTTTTATTATTCTTCATGTACGTTTTTTTTCTTTTGTATTTTTAATGTTTAAATTATTAAGTTTAAAATAATTGTCATATTTACAGTTTTGAAAATTGGAATACTCTTGTCAAAAATAGAAGAAAATTGTAGAAACTCCAGTTTTAATTGTAAAACATTTTGTAAGTTTGTTCTTTAAAATCCATAAAAATTTGTTCATTTCTCAAATTTATAATATAAATAATAATAAACAGAATATAGCACTTTCAATAAATTTTCACTATCAGACTATTTTCTGATTGAGTTATTATTAGTTGAATTTGATAGCCGAGGCTATTAATGCATCACTCTACTGCTTTGGGGGCCCACAATCAGATCTGTACTAGCAGCACTAAAGGAATTTTTTGTGAATGGTTTGTCCCAGATATATCTGGTCCCGTTCATCACCACTCAGCTGTTCCATTGGCGTGATCCAATATTTGCAGTATGGTGCAAACAGCACGAATTCATAGACCCTCCTGCCAAATGACAACTCTTCAGGCTGGTGGTGGTGGAATTATGGTATGGGGAATGTTTTCCTGGAGTAACTAGGTCCCTTGATATTTGTGGATGCATCTCTGAATAGAACAGCTTACTTCAACATTATTGCCGATCACATATACTCGTTTATAGCTGTAATATTTCCTGGTGGAGATGGTCACTTTCAGCAGGACAATGCACGTTGTCACCGTGCTGGATTGGTCTCAAATTGGCTTGAGGAACATCGATCATAGTTTAACCTGCTTCCATGGTCGGCTCAGTCCCGACCTCAATCCTACCGAGCATTTGTGGGACGAAGTCAAAAGATCACTTCAAAGCTTGGAAACGCCACCATCCAATCTGACCCAACTTAGAACTGCCATTGTTAGCATGGGCCAACATTCCTCATCTACGGTATCAGCAACTTGTTGAGTCCATACCAAGAAGAATATCAGCTGTCTTCAGAGCTAAAGGTGGATTAACTTATTAGAGGGTGTGTGTAATTTTTTGGCTATTCATTGTACAGTATGGAACACAAAGTGATACACCCACCAAAGGAATTACAGTAGAGCGTCGTTTATCCGAATCAATTGGGGAATGGGGTTGTTTGGATAACTTATTTTTCGGATAACCGATTATGTACGAAAAAATACACTAACCTATCCCATCCTGAAATTTTTCTCCCTTGCATGTCGCTTTACGTTGAATTTTCGTCGATGTTAAGCCTAACGTAAAGTTTTTAAAATAATAATCGTGGCTATTGTAGCGTTAAAAATTATTTTTTTAGTTTTTACAAACAAAATAAATATATTGAAAAATACAAAAACAATAAAAAATTATACTNTAATAATAATCGTGGCTATTGTAGCGTTAAAAATTATTTTTTTAGTTTTTACAAACAAAATAAATATATTGAAAAATACAAAAACAATAAAAAATTATACTTCAGAAGTTAATTTAGTATCGAAAACGTAAAATATTTGAGTAGCCCAAGACATAGCCAAAGATTGCAGCGCCACAGCACTAGCGAAAATTTAAATTTTCCAACTGGAATTCCTTCGGATAAACGACGCTCTACTGTATCTTGTAATTTCTATCAAAAGCCCATTGCAGTGGACAAGAAAATTAATATTGATAATCACTGTAGGTATGGTAAGCATAAAAATAAAACAAAGTTTAAATATTTTCTAAATACTATTCTATCTTCAGGAAGTTTATGTTAACATTGAATTACCCTTAATTGAAATAACATTATTGTCATAGCATGTTAAACTTCGTATTACAAGTAAATATTGAAATTTCTAAATACAGTAGTAGTATTTTATTGTAGACAAAATAAAGATTGGAATCTTTCTTGAAAATTTTTAGTAAATATATAGCTTTTCGGGGGTGCTGAATTCAAAAATTTTTCTGGCACCTATATGGATGAGTTCCCGTCTGGTCTAGTTATTACTATACTTGGCTCTGACCTAGGTGGCCCATGTTCGACACGGAAAAAATAAGTAATTTTTAAACAGCTGGATGGCCGAGTGGGCCATCTAACGCTCTGTGGGACCCGGGATCGAAAAATTCCCAGTAATTTTTCAGGTGGTAGTCCATCTGGATAAGTCGTTCCTCACCACCCGGTTGCCGCATTGTGGGCCTGGCCGAACCCATAATGAGTTTGCTAAAGGAGGCTCTCTTAGTATCCACAGGGCGGAATGAGTTAAAATATCCATGTAGGTTTTTTAAAAGTGAATGTAGAGCTAAGTTATTGCTTATAGGCTAATAGGTAACAAATGAAATATAGTGTGTGTCAAGTTCTAGACCTGTTTCGTACGAATATTTGTTTACATCGATAATAGCTTTCGTGTTTTATTTTGTTACCTCCTGGTTTCTCTTGCTGTCGATGATGCCGATGTTGTTCTACCTGTTGTGTGACATTTCTGGAAACGTACGGTGTAGTATCGAGCAGTAGTCTCCCATCATAGTAACGTTTCATTACCATAGTATTTTCTTTTCAACACTTTAATATCTTGGTGAAAGCGATCTCCTTGCTTGTAGCTCACTTCACCAAAGTTTTCAGGAAACACACCAGGTGAGCACCTAAAAAGTGAAATTCGAGCTAATTGAAACCTACGTAAGAACCTCACTTTTAACAGCGTGGGAATCAACACAGCAGTACTGTAATTCACTGGACCCAAAACTTGCATTTTAGAGTACAAAGAAAAGATAATAGTGAACTCAGAAATTACCAAATACCACTACACATGTAAATGCATTAAGTAACTTGTTTATTATTTTATGATCTTACTCGAAACGTTCTACGGATTATTACATCGTATTAAGTTAGTAGGCATTACTTAGCCTACTAACTTAATACGATGTAATAATCCATTTTTCGGAGAGGGAAGATAAAAACATTAGCTTTGCAAGGATTGGCGAGTCTGTTTCGTCTCGACGTCATAATGAGACCCACTTTTGAAAACAATCTTTCCAACGGAACAGAGCTTCCTAAGATAGAATAATACTGATCTGCTAGCTTTTTCGTGTTTGGAAATACGGCAGACAAATATTCCCATTCTTTTAAGGGGCAGCATTTACGGTCTATCAACTTTTGATTTAGGTAGTGTTTTAACTCTGTAACCAAGCTACCCGAGTCTCTCTGTATTTCACTGCCTGTCTGCTTTGCAGCTAGACATGTGTGGAAGCTGCAGATATTGTCACTGTTAGCAGTCTGTACTACCCTCTCTTCTAACTGATGATCATTCCCTTCATTACTTGTTCTCGCAATAACTAATGTTTCGATCTACTTTCGTGGCATTTCAATCGATGGAGGAGTCGCATTTTTCCAATCAAATCGGAGAGCTTGGTCTTTGTGTATTGTGATTTTCAGGACATTAGAATATTCAATTCTGTTACGATAACATTTTTTCAATTTTGCATTCTGGTTCCAGAGATGCAATTTAGCATTCATAAGGCCGACCAACTGGCGAGTCGGATTAACGATGAGGATGGTGTGGGCCCGCTTCGTGGCAATCTCATTGGATGTTATAAAACTCTTAACCTAACAACAATGGTATGTTCAAGTTTATTATTATTTTAGTTGGTATATTTGTCCGGAAAAAATCATCAATTGGCATTAAGTAACAAATTGGACGGTGAGCACCACGTTTTGGTCTCATCAAGAAGTAATAGTAAAATAAGAGAAATTGGTGCTAAAAGTTAATAGATGTAATTTATTGAAAAAATAATGCATAATATCTTTAATGATTTGAAAGAGAAATACGTAGAAAACACAAAATATCTAAAATACAGGTTCGTACAAACAAATTGAAGTTTTGTGTTTTGGAAACTTTCTGAATTTACCCTCCCTGAATAATTCCGATTCACGATTGATCGAATCTGCGGATACAAAGAATCCGCTGTTCTTGTTGCAGCTGAATTTAATTCAGCCATGCCATTCTCGCACTGAATAAATGCGTAATCAATATTACACCGAATTACTTTAGTGTATAAAAGTTTGCTGCCTCCAAAATATAAATTTATCATTTTAATCATTTTTTAAATTATAGCTTTTCTTAGAGGAATTTATTTAACTTCAAAGTAAATTAATTACATCTAACGAATCTTTATTAATAGTACAGTATTTAGCCTAAACGCCAATGGTGTGAATCTGTTTTAACACAGATTAGTCTACCACTTTGGTGATTCGGAATTGAATTCAAGCGTTTGAAAAACACCAGCAATTTCTCGGGGTGGTCTGTTCCATGATGGACTTGAAAAAAGGCTGTCTTGGTGTCCATAGGACGAAAAGTCAAAATTAAAAAACCATCCAGCAACGAGTCGCTTAACTTTTCCGTCAAAAAAAGTTAAAATTGCGTGTGGCGCCATCTGTTATGATATTTTATTATAAAACTTTTTATATAATTAACTATTATAAAATGGCAAAAGACTTAATTTTGAGGGTAGAGACAAATTTTATAATAAGTTGTAAATGCTAAAAACGAGTGAAATCGTCATTAAGTCTGACCCTACTCGAGATACACACGATCTCTCCTCTATCTCTCTACCTCTTGATCTAATATAGCAGAAGGAAAGTATGGCAATCGGTCAAAAAATGACCCCCCAAGATTTTTACATTTTTGGACATTCTTGAAACGTCGAGAAATGCAAAAAAAAATTTTGTATACAGTATATGGATGTTAGGGGCTGTCCATAAATGACGTCCACACTGGAAGGGAGGGTTGGAATTGAAATTTAATGGACGTCCGTTTTATTTCGTTAAATTTTATACAATTTATCACTTTATGAATAACAAAATGCATAAAGGTTTAAGGGGGAGTTGAGTTTTGTTGGATGTCCGGAAAGGGGGGGTTACGAAAACATGGACAAACTGGGACAATAGGGGAGGGGGCAATGAAAATTTCAAGAAGAATGTGGAAGTAATTTATGGACAGTTCCTTAGTGCGTGTATGAGAAATTTTATTTACCCACTTTGAAGCTTAATGACTTCTGTGCCTTTTAATCGAAAATTTCTGAAATTTTCGATAAAAAGCACTGGAGTTATTAAGCTTGGATGAACGAAGTCGTGTCCCACACACACTAACATTAAAAAAAACCGTTTTTTCCCCCATTTCTCGATGTTTCAGGTGTACTGTACTGAGTCCAAAAATAAGTCCGAGTTTTTGTCTATCAAAGTAGATAATAGTTCCCTGTGACGTATTTATGAGGATGATGTGGGTGTAGAATCCAAGTACAGTACAGGCTTTAGGAATAAAAGTTCCCAGAGACTTTAGGAATAAAATTTAAAGTAAAACGAACAATTATTTATTGTGACATGGTCACAATACCGGGCTGCAATTTTTAATCATATTTGTAATTTATTTAATTTAAAATATTATGCTCTGCACCTCAAATCAGTACCGTAGGGTCTTGCCCCTGTACATCATACTTTTCCTCTAACAATAGAATCGTGCCGGTCAGCTATTAACTTCTTTCAGGGGGGAGTTTTAAATTGAAATAACGTAACTTCCGGTTTGTATCGGATGTTTGTATATACTTAATCGGAGCCTCCTACCCATAAGGTTTCCATATCTGGTCTCGTCTTTCATCTCTCTAACTCCTTTCTCGAGATTAAGAAGAGACAGTCGGACAGACGGAAAAATATATATATAAATTAATAGTGACGTATAAATTGTGATATTCTACGAAGTGTCTTTATCTGGCGCATACCTAATCGGACTGGAGTCGACGTGACGATTTCGATTCTAATACTCACCGTAAATTAAATAAATAAATTGGTACGTTTGTAGCATAATTCGAGGTCGTTAATGAAAATAGGGAAAGTCGAAAGGCGTATAAAACGGAACTTGGAGAAACGCCTGGAAACCAATCCAAAAGATGTTGATTTTAATTAGATATACTTTAAATATATATATATATTTTTAACGGGTTATCCGTTAGCGAGAGTGAGGGATGGTGTCGAGTCTGATCAGTCAATTTAGCCTGATATTGCGTGGTTTTTATTTTTCTGGCAAACTATAACTTTTAATCCAATCAACCGTGTACTAAACTATAGTAAATTCGCGTTACAGAATCCTTTCCACTCTAGAATGATGTCTCCAGACAATGTTCTAGAACTGAACTTGAAGTTTTCTCAATAAAAAGGATTCTATGGAATTTTAATAGCAGTTGTGACAACGGAAATGACGATCATCTTGAGCTTTCTAAACACCTTATGTGGAAGAATGACGTTACAAGTGAACTTATAGCCTATATAAAACACGATGCTTACATTAAAGGAAGTAATTTGCCCTTTGTCTAATAATAATCTATCTTTCAATGAAAAAGAAATTAGAATTAGGCGTAATATTAGAGGCCTTCTTTAAAAGGAAAGCGTTTCACGTATCAAAAGTACGTACGCGACATGGGCGTAAAAGAGGGATCGAATTCTCGCTAACGAGTGACGAAATAAGAACGAAATCTTAATAGAGTGGGCAGTCTCGATCTTCTCTATTAAAATACTCTGTTAAAATGTAATAAATAAATTCTACAATCTTAAAGACACCGTCAAATTAATTATTTGTAATCATATTATGCGCCTTTGATTTGTCGCCATTTAAAATAGGATTAATTATTGTTCCGCTTTACTTGGTTTATTTTATTTTTCATTTCAAGAGGATCGAAAATATTTGGTTCCTGGTAGAAATGAAAAATTCTCTGACGTAATTCATTTGTATTTCTTAAATATGTCTCTCTATTCTATGGAATTGGACGGAAACTACAGTCGACGACACTTCCCATTACTTAAAAAGTAGAAATAATCGTCGCTTACTCCGACTAGCGATAATCGCTCCGTTAACCCCGATTGTTCGTTCTTCCGGCTGCTAAGCGCTTAGGTTTGATTGTAAAAACTTTTCGACGCGCGATCGGATCCGTCCGTCGCGTCGCCGCGATAAATTCGGACGTTTCGGAATTTTCGAAGCGGCCGAATCGATGGGAAACGACGTCTCTCGAAGCCGGGTTTTCCGTTTCGATCAATCTTTAGATCGACGCAAACTGCTTTTCGTCGGCGAACGAACGAGAAAACGTCCCGAAGGAGATTCTGGTTACGCTCGTTGAGAAAATTCCGCGTCCGAATCTCCTTTTCTTAGCGACCGACGCGCGCGACTTTATCTCCCTCCGCCGATACCGCGGAACGTCGGTCGTCCACCGGAGCAGCGCGCCCGCGGAGAGGGACGACCGAGGACCGGTGGCCGGAAACGGAAGAACGGAGTCGGGACGGGGATCCGGCGGAGAAGGCCGTCGGCCCTAGGCCAGAGCGGAGGGAGCGCCACGCTGGGCGGAGAAGAGGGGGCGGAAGCGGACGCGGCGACGCGACTGCGCAGTGGCGCGGGCGCCGCGGGAAGGAACCGCCATCGCGCAGTCGACGACCAGGGAGGAAGAGCGATCGCCGGGAAGTAGATCGCGGAGAAAGCGTCGAAGGTCGGAGGAAGCGGCTATTCGTCGTCGGGACCGAGGGACGCCGACTCTTCCGGTCGATCGGAGGCGGGAACGGAGCCACTCGCCTCCGCCGACCATGGGTTGCGCGCCCAGCCTCCGCCCCGAACGCGGCGCCGTCCTCTACCGCGCCGGTTCCAACCGCAGCGGATCGACGGCGACCCGGGGCCTGCCCGGCCTCTTCCGGGCCACCGACCCGCCACCGGAAGCGACGTCGGAGGAAGAATTCTCGTCTCGCTCCGGCCGCCGGCGCGGGAGCGACGCGCTGGACCAGGTGAGTTTTCGACCTCCCATCGCCGATATCGACGCGGCGCGGTCGACTCCGAGCTCGAATTCTTCGGCGACGCGTTCTTATCTCTTCGGTCGTGGTCGCCGGGTCGGGGGTGGTCGAATACCGGAAGGCGCGACTTTTTCTTCTTCCGGGTCGTCTTAAGTAGACGAAGCGTTACTACGACGCCGAACGACTCGTGGCGAAGAGAGCGTTTCGGGTGACGTTAGAGAAGCGCAGGTCCGTCCCACTTCGGTTTTAAGTTTTTCTTTCGCAAGAATTAAGAAAGTCTTCGTCCGCGAGACTCCATCTTTTGAGCCAAGTCTCTTTTAGGGAACGAAGGGATCGACGAGAGACGAGGAACATCCAAACATCTTCCTTCGGAGTTTGCCGTTTTTCTCCGTCTTTATTCAAATTTCCACTATCTTATTTCCATTTCGTCCTAACTTCAATAAATATATTTTCGACTTCATTTTTCTATCGACTTTTTTCTTCGAAAATAAAGTTTACGGAAGTGCCTGGTCCGATCGAAAAACAAAGAACCCATCTGGATCGTAGTTATCGCGGCGCGGGTCTTCCGCCATGCACGCGATGAAAGCGCCGACACGAGGAACGACGGTCGGTTGGTCGCGCGTGGATAGGGAAATCCGGAATGGCGATTTTTCTCGGTCGACGGCGGACGGAACGAAAACCGAGACGATAACGTTTTACGGCGGAAGAAACGAGATAAAGCGACGCGATAAAAACCAAGAAACGTCGTTTTTATAGCGTCGCTTTAGTTAGGCGGTCGGAAGTAGCCGCGACGATGGACTGAATAGGAGTCTGTAACTCGCTCGCTAACGACTCGCATCTATTAGAAATAATTGTCGCTAAAGTCTCCTTTTCTTACATTAAGTCTAATGCTAGAAAATCGGCATTTAATAGCGACGTAAACGAGAGAAGCGGAAAGGGAAACGAAGCGACTAGATATTAGCCAGATTTTGTAATTACGTATTATGAGGAAGGATCATTTCCGGTCGATTTTCTCCCCTCGGCACTTCATTCGGAACGACGATCTACTCAGATCGATCGACTGTAGATTTAGCTCGGAAATATCCGAAAAAAAAGAAAAAAAAAAGTACTCGTAGCTTTTCGAATCGCCGGACCGTTTCCTCTGAGAATATTTTTCTTATTTAGTCGCATTTCGCTTGCCAAAAGCGAGAGAAAACAAAGTTTTGCATTCGGTAAACTGGAAAATTATGAATAGCTCGATCATCCGATGACAGAGATCGATCGTTAAATAGAGAAATAATAACCGTATTTCGGAAGTTATCGTCCTCGATAAAGAGTGAATAGGTTAGAAGTAGATGGAGGAATTTAAATTTCTTTCAGAAACGGAGCCGAACATACGCGCGTAGTTTTCTTTCCAAGATCTTTTTCCGTCGCTTCCGTCGCTCGTCGCCTTTCCTAAGCGACAAAATTTGATCGCTCCGAAGATGTCCGAGATCGACCCAACAGGTTAACACACACCGTCGCTACGAAAACGTGTTTACCTTCTCCATCCGTTTCCTTCCTCTATAACTCTTCTATTTCTATTTACCTATTATTCGAGTCTCGTTTCTACTTCTTTTATTTGTTTTTTTTTATTTATTTTCAACGTTTATAGAGACAAATTCCTTAACTCTCTTTTGATCGACTAAATAAATCCGAGAATCGAGGTGGAGAGCGTTTGCGTTGTGTCGCAGAGAGAGAGAGAGCTTAAGAGGATTTAGTAACCTAGGAGACGTCGACTTAAGAGGATCGGAGTCGCGCTCTTCTAATCTTTAAACGGCCGACACTACCGGTAAATAAATTAACGGAACGAAAATAACTTAAAATAAATTTATGCGTACAAAATCGTTAAGGAAATACTAATAAATACGATTATAAACGTGATTATACATACTTCGTCATCCTTTTCCGGTTTCGAAATCGTCATGTTCGAATTCCCTCCCTCCCCCAATTTCACGTGTTTTAATTTTGTGTATTTAATCAATTTCGAGTTGAAAAGTTGGATAAATCGCGGAAGAAGGAGGGATCCGTGTATTTACTTTACAACATTGCGTGACATTTTCTTCCTCTTCTATTTTTGAATCGCGTGTCGTCTTTCGGTTTCCGTTACATTGCACAATTATCGTCAATTTTAATGATTTTTATGCGAGAAGTACTGTACAAATTTAATGGTTAGAAGGATAATTATCCGAAAATAAAACTTGTATGAAGATTTACTACATTTTAAGATAGAGAGACGTTGTTCGAAAGATCGTTTTCTAGTTTTTAATGCTATTACTACTTCAGCCATGGCAAATCTTTTTTCCCCCCTGTGGTGGGCCTGAATTGGATTCGAAATTTATTAACTACAAATCGCGAGTCAAATATTTTATTTGAGTAATAATATTTGGTATAATGGGAAAATCTGCCGTTGGTGATTCGATGACAATTCTTCTATAATTAGTGGCTTTCAAGACAGTTTTAAGAGCCTGATTTCATACTACGTATTAGTTATGCACCAATAAGCATTTTGGACGTTATCCATTTCTGATTAATTGGTCGCTTAATTAAATAAATAATTATAAACTTTTATTAGAAAAATTCTCTATTAATTTACAAGTAAATGAACTTATTAATCAGGCAATTGAAAATAAGAGATTAAGTCGTATTACTTCTTGAACTTTGTTTTTTTTATTATCTCTTCTTCTAATACTCTGAATTATTAGCAAAACACATTAATTTTTTTATAGAATGGAAAATAACAATTAACATGTTTAACTATTTTTAATTGAGTGAAATTTCTAATGAACCAATTGCTTTTAGTTTTTTTAAAGGATCTGAAATACGGATTAAATTGTTAAAAGATAGACAATTTTTTAAGTTATAAACCGCACCCTGTTATACAATTTGATTCGGTTAAAATATTTCAAGGATTAAAATTCGTGTTTCGAAATGAGAGGAAGATTCCTTCTCCCCTTTATCTTTCTCAGAAGGGAGCTTCGGGGATTTTGGGGTAGTGCTGGTGAAAATACGTCATTACTGTGAATAGACAATAATATCGATATTACGATCTACTAGCAGTCGGTTTATTTCTTTATTTGATGGGATTAGCAGCTCATTCAAATGCAAGGATCGAAGACACAAAGGAACAAAGTAAACAATAAAGCATTGGCAGTTACTTCTTTGTTGGCAGTGGTGCAATTTTCTGTAAAAGTATAAATTTATTAAAAATATCTCTTAAATTTTATGAATTTTAAGTGTGGAATGGTAGATTGTATCAAATTATTGCGTTATACCGAATATGGCCTATTCGTTATAGCACCGTCTTATGTACCGCTCTTATTTTAAAACATGTTTTAAGAGTTGCATAGACTTTCTTCATATTTTGTCGATTATTTTGAATAGAAATTATTGCGAGGATGATTCAAACCTTTGTCGAAACGCATTAGATATGCAGTAATAATGATTATTTTATTTACATAAAACTCTCAGTGTATTGAGATGTTGTCGACATCGAATGCAATTTGTAAGACTTCCTCCGTTTATTTTTGTCCGTAACATTTTCCGGGTTTCTTAGCGTAACGATACGTTGTATAATTAATATAACGTATCGTTTATTTCTCAGTTTTGTATAAAGATATACTAAAATGCTTCGTGATCAAATTGGTATAGACTAATCGTAGTTTATCTTATTTGCTTCCAGTTCTATCTTTATTATCTTTATTTATTATCAACCCAATTGCTTTTATATAAACTTTATGCTACATTATTCAGTTTTAAAAATATGATAATAAATGTGAGCTGTACTGTACTTATTATATTTAACCAGTTCTAGATTTTTATTGATTAGAGGATAGGTTAATCAGTGTTTGTCCTATATTCAGTTTGCATTTTGGCAAAGTGTAATGCCAAATATTGTCGAAGAAAGATGGCAGCGTTATTGCTTGTATAGAAATCCACATCGTAGAATGTTCCTTAATACGAATGACAACGCCACTTTTTCTCTGGTGGCCTAAATTACAACTATTTTGCTATATACTATGTGTGGAATACTTTGTGTATATATTTCCCTGTTATTCTTTTCCAATTCCGATCTTGAATAATGTTAAACAGTGTTTGTCCTAAATGTTTATATATCTATAATTATTATTCGAAATACTTCGGTTAAATGTAGCATAAAGCTAGAAATCCAAATGGGCCATACTCCCAAAATACTAATAAAGGACATTTATGTCACCCTTACACGTAAAGGATAATTAACATTATTTATTTAAATTTTAGCGTAATAAAATTATATTTAATAAATAATAATTTACAGTAGTTTTCCTTACGTTTTTCTTAAATTAAGTTGTCATCTGGCAAACAATTGTTTACTTGCATTTTCATTTGTGACTAGCAAACCGAATGCTTCCTTTCCTCATTTAATTTCTCGTATTTATTTAATGAAAGATTCCTGAAATCTCTAGAGTAATTTTACGTTTCCTTATTTTTTAATGATGAAGGATGAAATTGTGCCTTAATAGCTGTATGAAAATTTTCATTAATAACTCCCGTTCTTTTTGTCGAAAATTTCTGAAATTTTTCAGGAAGGTTTGTGTTTTAGAGGGTTTGATGCTATTAAATTTTGGTGGTTAAAGGTCGACGGGGTGGAGAGATAAAGGAAATCGTGTATCATATCTCGAGTAGATTAGTAACGCTTTTACTCGTTATTATCATTTACAATTTTTTATTATAAAACTCATCCCTACCCTGAAATTAAGCTTATTTTCATTTTATAATAATTAAAAATATAAGAAGTTTTTAAAAATAAAATATCATAATAAATGATGCCACCAACATTTTAAACGTTGCCGGGAAAGTTAAGCAACTCGTTGCTGGATTGTTTTAAATCTAAATTCAATAATAAGAAGACATCATTAATAAGAATTTGTCATAAAAGAAAGGAACCTTTCAACACAGGAATGATATTTATTACGGGGATAATTACTCGTGCACTT